ACGAATGGGCAGGTATCATTAAATATTCCTATGAAGAAGTTCCTAACTTCTGTTTTTGTGCCATTGACTCTTTGGCAGTGTGGAGAAACCTAGGGACCCATTTTCAGAACAGTGTTTTTAAATGCGTAAAATATTTTAGATTACAAGGAAATTTTGAGTATTGAAATAGCCAACAAAATATTTTAAAAACAAATTCGTAATACAGTAGTATATATCCTTCTTCATTAACTCATTAAAGAACAAGACATACCAATGAGCATACGTATTAAGCTAATTTTAGAGGTACTAATGGCTACAAATGAAATTTTGAGTTGTCTGCAGCAACTGTTATGTGAAATGAAAATACCTGTGGTTTTTTTGGTTGTGAAGTCACAGGTACTACTAATGCTAATACTATTGTGGTTTGTGGCATACGTTCATAATAGAATGACATGCTAAATTTTATTTAGAGAGTTAGTTCAACACAATTTCCTGGCTCTGAATTCTATGCCAAGTAAAAAAAAAAAATACTTGTGCTAAGAAGAGATAAAAGTTGTAACTACACTTTGCAGATCTTTTTTTTTTTTTTTTTTTAGAGAGAGTCTCACTCTATATCGCCCAGGCTGGTGTGCAGTGGCGCAATCTCATTGCAACCTTTGCCTCCTGGGTTCAGGAGTCAAACTGAGGCTCCTGCCTCAGCCTCCCGAGCAGCTAGGACTACCAGCAGACGTCACCATGTCTGGCTGATTCTTTTGTATTTTTCAGTAGAAATGGGGTTTCACCATTGGTCAGGCTGAACTCCTGACCTCAAGTGACCTGCCCACCTCGGCCTTCCAAAGTGCTGGGATTACAGGCTTAAGCCACCACGCCCAGCCCCAGAAAGATTTTCCGATCATCCAATTTCTATTTTCCCCAAATAGAATTAATGACTTCCTCTTTTATATTATATTGGGAGCTTATATAATTTCAATCCTTGTATTTTTCATAATGTATTACAGTCATATTTCTATCTTTTTTATAATATATTGTAATCTTATATTTCTGCCATTTTTACAAGCCCTTAAAAATAATAGATGGGGCCAAGTGCAGTGACTCACACCTGTAGTCTCAGCACTTTGGGAGGCCGAGGTAGAAGGATCGCTTGGGCCCAAGAGTTCAAGGCTAGCCTGGCCAACAGCTGAACACAGCTCTATTTAAAAAAAAACAAAAAATGAATCGGGCTGGGGCAGTAGCTCAACAGCTGTAACCCCCAACCTTCAGGAAAACCGAGGTGAGGTTTAATGGTTTGAGTCCCCAGGAGATATTTGAGAATAGCTGGGTGACAGTGTCCAAAACCCAGTTTCTACAGAAAAAATACAAAAATTAGCCCCAGGCCCTATAAGTGCCAGCGTTACTTCTATGGGAGGGCTAAGCAGGCGCGCGGGATCCACTTGAGGCCTCGGGAGGTGGAGGTTGCAGTGAGTTGAAAATCAACCAAACTAGCAACTTCAGCCTAGCGAACAAAGAGAAACCCATCATCAAAAAAACACAAAAATAAGTCCTGGTACTTGTTCAATGCCGTAAATCCCAGCACTTGGGGGGCCAAGGGGGCAGATCAACTGAGGCAGAGGTTTCGAGACAGCCTGTCCTACATGTGAAACCCTGATCTCTATAAAAATAGGCAAAAAATAGCTGCGGCATGCTGATGGAGATCCTGTAATCCTCAACACTTGGGAGGCTGAAGGGCAGGAAAATCGTTTGAAAACCCCGGAAGGCAGAGTTTTGCAGTGACGGCCGAGCCAACAACTGTTGCGTCAGCATGGCAACAGAGAAAACTCCGTCTCAAATTAAGTAACATAAATAATAAATAAGGTGAATTTATTTATTATATTTATTATTCTTTTTCTATTATACTTGATAAGTTTCAAGGGTACATGTGCCCAACGTGCAAGTTTGTTTAATAATAATATGTTATACACTGTGCATGTTGGTGGCTGCACCCATTAAATCTCATTACATAGGGTGATATCTCCTAATGCTCCCTATGCTGCCACCGCACCTCGACAGGGGGCCGCAGAGCAGAACATACCTCCACTCTCACACCCCACAACAGGCCAGGTGTGTGGCTGTTCCCGTTCTTGTATTTCCAAGTTTCATTGTTCAGTTCCACTATGAGATGAAACATGTGGATGTTTGATGTTCTAATCTTGGGCCAATATTTGCTGAGATGATGATTTCACTTTAAAACAGGCTTACCTGTCACTCAGGCTGGTGTGCCAGTGTGCCAATACCAGTTCACTGCAGCCTTGGCATCCCTGGGCTCAAGTGGGTCTCCACTCCACGCCTCCTGATAGCTGGACTACAGGTGTATCAGCACCACAGGGTGCTAATTTTTATATTTTTTGATAGAGATGGGAATTCCACTATTTATGCCTAGGCTTGTTTCAAACTCTGACCTCTAAGTGATCTCCCGCTTTGCGTCTTTCAAAGTGGTTGGATTACTAGGTGTGAGCCTAACAACAGCTTGGCCCTGACTATTATTCTTTGGATATGTACAATGGTGTTTGATATTTTACTGGAGGGAATAATATAGGAGTTTTCCACATCCATGTGACATCCAATCGTCTTCATGGTGACCAGCCACTAATAAAGAATTTCCAATCTGGATCTACAGTGATAGAACTACTTCACAAGTATGCAAATGGAGATATTAATCTGGGTTGTAAGGCTTTTAGTAAATATAGTACTGCTAGGACAACTTCCCTATACACCGCTTATTGAATATTGTTTTTCAAGATTTATTAGTTCTATACCTGGAACTTCTTAATTTCTCACTCTATCAAACTCCTATCTTTGGGGAATCACCCTACCTTCTTTGTTATTTTTTTTTTTTTTTTTTTATTTTTTTCTTCCGAGACGAGAGTCTCGCTCCGTCCACCCGCCGCATGGAGTGCAGTGCGGATCCTACCAGCTCCCTGCAAGCCGCCTCCCGACGGCGACTACACCCATTCTCCCTAGCGCTCACCTCAAACTACCGCTGGGACCTCCACGCGGCGCCGCCACCCCTCCGCCGGCCTTAGTGGGTTTTCGTAGTCTTTAGTAGAGACGGGGTTTTCACGGGGTTAACCAGGCGAGCGTCCTCGACTCTCCTACCTTAAGTGAAGCCGCCCACCGTACTGCCCTCACAAACAGTTGCTGGGATTACAGGCTTGAGCCACCGCGGCCGGCCCTCACCTACTTCTTGAGCATCAACTTCTGTGTAATAATAACTTCTGAATCCAGCCTATACCTAGTTCTCTGTCACCTAAGGATCACTTGCAAATATCTAAAATGTAGACCATCTAACTCCCTACAGATAAGCAACTTTCAACTCAATATGCTAAGATTGAACTCATTTTTAAAAAAATCTCTTAAACCTTTTCCTGCCTCACTCTCACTAACTTGGTTCATGCTCTCATCATCTGAATTACTGCACACTTCTTTAAAATTCTGTTCTTGATGCTTATCTAAAGTATGAGTGACTGAATTTTCATTTATTTATTTATTTATTTATTTAGAGACGGAGTTTTGCTCTTTTCACCCAGGCTGCAGTGCAATTGCACAATCTTGGCTCACTGCAACTTCCACCTCCCAGGTTCAAGCGATTCTCCTGCCTCAGCCCCCTGAGTAGCTGGGATTACAGGTGCCCACCATGCCCAGCTAATTTTTGTATTTTTAGTAGAGACGGGGTTTCACCATGTTGACCAGGCTGGTTTTGAACTCCTGACCTCAGGTGATCCACCCACCTCGGTCTTCCAAAGTGGTGGGATTACAGGCATGAGCCACTGCGCCTGGCCTGAGTGACTGAATTTTCTAAAAAGGTGAATTGCATTATGCTATTCCCTGCTTTAAGTTCTCTAAAAAGACTATTCTCTCTCTTTTTTTTTTTTGGACAGAGTCTCACTGTGTTGCCGAGGCTGGAGTGCAGTGGCATGATCTCGGCCCACTGCAGCCCTGCCTCCTGGGTTCAAGCGATTCTTCTGCCTCAGCCTCCGGAGTAGCTGGGAGTACAGGCGAATGCCACCACATCCAGCTAATGTTTGTGTTTTTAGTAGAGAGGGGGTTTCACCATATTGGCCAGGCTGGTCTCAAACTCCTGACCTCATGATCCGCCTGCCTCGGCCTCCCAAAGAGCTGGGATTACAGGCGTGAGCCACCGCGCCTGGCCAAGTGTAAACTTTTAAGATGACATAGAAAGCCCTGCATGACCTGGCCCTTCCTCTCTCTCTAGCCTTACAGTCAGATTTGATTATACCACATGCTAGCATTGAAGTATTGGGCAAGTTTTTTAAACTTGAAGTTAAAAAACTTCAAGTGAGGATATTAATGCTAATCAGGGGGAGATAACAGCATATAAAGTGCCAAGCATACTGCCTGGCTTAGCGTTAACAATAAATATTGGCTATTGTGGAAGAAGAAAATATTACTGCATGTATTTGCTCAATCTCTATTGCTGTAGCAAGAGGATGCTTTGAACTGCTGATTGGGTAATGTTTTAACATAAACGGAACTCTCCACTCCACTGAAAAAGAAAGAAAAGGAAGAAAGAGGTTTATTTGAATAGACTGGGAAGAAAATTGGAGGTGAAAAGTTGAGTGATCGGGGAGGATTAAGAGACGCCCACAAAATTGTTTGTTTGTGGAGATGAGTTAGTGGTAGTATAAACTTCAGAAAGAAGAGATCTGGCTGAGCGCAGTGGCTCATGCCTGTAATCCCAGCACTTTGGGAGGCTGAGGCTGGCGGATCACTAAGGTCAGGATTCAAGACCAGACTGGCCAACATGGCGAAACCCTGTCTCTACTAAAAGTACAAAAACTAGCTTGGTGGGGTGGCGCGGGCCTATAATCCCAGCTACTCTGGAGGCTGAGGCAGGAGAATCACTTGGACCTGGGAGATGGAGGTCGCAGTGAGCCGAGATCACACCACTGTACTCTAGCCTGGACTACAGAGACGATGTCAAAAAAAAAAAAAAAAAAAAAAAAAAAAAAAAAAAGAGACCTGAAGTATTTGCTGTCAGAATATAGGGGAACTTTGGAGAGCTAAATGGGTTAAGATCTTTAGGATGTTTTGCTAACCCCCATCCTTACCTCCTCAGTGGCCAGCTTTAGTTACTTTGTTACAGTTTTATGGTTGGCAGATTCACGTTTCTTCAGAGTTTGACACTAGGTTGAGGTTGGCCATGAACTAATACAATTATATTTCAGTTACACGATTATTTGCGCTCCTTGAGTGTCTCCACCCTCATGTTAACTCTGACATCTGCCCGAAATTCATTCATCGAATACATATTTGAGTGGCCTCCCCTCTTTCCGTTTGCTGGACAGCCCATCATTTTCCAAAGTCAGCCCCTAAACTCTTCTATGAGTTTCCTGACAACTCAACACAAAAATTCGCCCCTCCCTTTTTTGCGTGCAACCCCGCCTCCTCTTTTAATTGTTTGGCTGTCATTCCTCTTGTATAGTGCTCCTTGCAATCAGGACTGGTGCTCTACATATTTGCTAGCTCGGTGTATGGCACGAAGTAGATGCTCAGTAAATGTTGATTGAACGAGTATTCTGTGCATCTCGGCGACATCACATCCTGCGTGCCGTGGCGTCATTCTGCATTCCTCTGCGGTAGGCGTAGATCCGGAGGGTTTAAGTGGTTGTTTATAACATGCACCGAACATATCCAACGCAGGCTGTGGCTTCAGACCGCCCACAAAAAGCGCGGTTGGTGGGAGTGCGGTCTCGAGGTCGGCTGGCAGCTGGGAAACTCCAGCTCGGGGCGGAAACACGCTCCCTGGGAGGCGCCGGCGCCTAGTGATTCTGGGAATACAAGGTGCGAGGGAGGGAGCTGGTGGCTCTCTTATCGCGGTGTTTCCTCTCTCTTCGCTGCCGGGGGGAGCTCTCGCGGGGGGAGCTCTCGCGAGAGGAGCAAGAGGAAGATGGCCGTGCCCTGTTTTTCGGTGTGAGGCGGCGACCGCAGCTGCGACGGCGAGGCTGAGATCTTGATGTCGTGGGCACCTGAGCTCTAGCTCCCCCCAGCGAGCGCACGTCCCTTCGTGCCTAGGCGAGAGCCGGCTCTTCCCCGGGAGATGCGTTTGTCCCAGGCTCGGGGGCGCAGTGGGAGTTCATGCTGCGCTGGAGGCTCCTGGCCACCGCTCTAATCGCCTTGGGCCGCCGCAGCGCCAGCTCCGTCGCCAGCGGTGAGCCTCCCGATTCCCCGCCTTGCCCCTGGCGGCGGCGATGACCGGGGAGAAGATCCGCTCACTGCGGAGGGACCACAAGCCCAGCAAAGAAGAAGGGGACCTGCTGGAGCCCGGGGATGAGGAAGCGGCGGCTGCCCTTGGCGGCACCTTTACCAGAAGCAGGATTGGCAAGGGCGGCAAATCTTGTCATAAGATCTTCAGTAACCATCACCACCGGCTGCAGCTGAAGGCAGCTCCGTCCTCCTCCAATCCCCCCGGCGCCCCGGCTCTGCCGCTGCACAATTCCTCCGTGACTGCCACCTCCCAGTCCCCGGCCCTTCTGGCCGGCACCAACCCCGTTGCTGTCGTCGCGGATGCAGGCAGTTGCCCTGCACACTACCCAGTGCACGAGTGCGTCTTCAAGGGGGATGTGAGGAGACTTTCCTCTCTCATCCGCACGCACAATATCGGGCAGAAAGATAATCACGGTGAGGAGTGCTAGCCCCTCTCCACCTCTCTCCTTCCCCGAGCCTAGGGTGTGCCTCCCCAGGCTTCTGGAATCCTAGGCCCCCCCTCCAGCAGACTCTTCTTTCCTCTCCTTTGCCCATCATCCGGGCCATTCGGTAAATTATGACCGACTCAGTAATAGCGTGCCAGTGGTCAGGGGGTTGGTTCTTGTGGGTGCAAAGGAATGTATCCTCCTTGCCCACTTCAAAGTTTCTCGTGAGAAGCTGTTTTGTTTGAGACAGGCCTTCGACTTGCTGATTCTGGACTGCCAGAAATTTTAGGTTGCCTCTCACCCAACCTGGTTTTCTCCTTTTGTTTATGGAGCTATGTATTTTTTATTTCTCTCCCCTTCCCCCCACCTTGGCCTTTTAAATTTTGAACACATAAATTGCCCTCCTCCCTTCATTACTCACAACAGATCCCATCTTGACGGCAACTGGTTGTGATTCTGCCCGCCACCAGGTTGTTTCTTTTTTGTCTGCTTATAGTAAACTTAGAATGTTTGATTTCTGAAAGCCACACGGTAGAAATTTGTTGGTATTTGATACCTAGAACAGTTAGACTTCTCAACAGCCGATTTTTGTTGGAGTAGGGATTTGATGTTTTGCTTGTTTTAAGTAGATAATTGCTAATAGTAATGTCTAATCTTGATGACTGTGACTAAAAATAGAATTATGATTTTCATAGTAATTTTATCTTAGTCTATATTAACCATTTCTTTTTGCCTTGTAAGCTGAATTTTTTAATTCTAAAAAATCGTGTGACTGAGTTAACTTTTAAGCAACAGTAAATTTATTAATGAAAACTAATGTGAACACTGACATTTTAACATTTAATAGGCCGTTTTAAACTGGGTAGTTGGCACATATTGTTGATCGCTCTGCTTTTAATATGAAAAGTGTATACATTCAGTTAGAACACGCTCAACCAACTTTGTGCTCAGAATGATATACGTATCAATGAAATATTTGCCTGTGAAATAAGTTCCCTTAATTCCATCGGATTGTAGGCTTTTTAGGACAAAAATTCAGATAAAAAAAAGAGTAAGGTTTCTCTTGGCTGTATAATTCTCTAACAACTGCTGCATTTGTTTTCCGAATTTACAATGTTGTAATGTAATAAAATCACCACCTATCATTTATCGTAAATCCCCAAAAAAGTATCTTAAAGTTGCAGCCAGTTTTTCATTCTTACATTTAAATTACTTAATCATTTTATTATTATAGTTGAAGCATAATGTTGTTTGTTGATTGATGATGGTAATTTTATTCTAACCCTCTGGAAAACAGTTGTTAGTGGAAGATGGGTTGTAGCTTCAGTTTAGTAGTCAATTATTAGGAAGTTTTTCAAATTTGGTCTACATAGTAGCCATAGTTACATTACCTTGAAATATCCCTGAAACAGATAAAAAGTTTGAGAGTTAACTCCCTTTGAAATAAGAGATGGATGAGTATCACTGAAGGTATTGAATTACAGGATTATTGGGCTTCCCTGTCTTCAACCCAACATTTAGGAGTACATTTGTTTAAGTTCAAATTCTGTTCAAAGTAATTAGAATCCTATATACTCTTAAACTCTTGTTCTTAGCCCACTGAAATTCACTTTTTTAAAGTAAGGTTTTTTTATTGTGTGTAGCTGACCTTATATCGTTGATGTTTCTGATTAATGTAACCAGTGGTTCACATACCTGGGGTAAATATAATTGTTTTCCCCCCTGCAATGTGTACATGCTCATCTCCTACAGTGAGGCGTCCTAGGAACAGTGGCTTCAATTTAAGGTGCTTCTTATTTAGTCTTTTTTTCTCCCATAGCCTCAAAAATTTTTCGGATACGTTATTACTTTTAGTCTTGATCACTTAAACAAAAGCAACTGGGATAGGTGCGGTGGCTCACACCTGTAATCTCAGCAGTTTGGGAGGCCGAGGTGGATGGATTACCTGAGGTCAGGAGTTCAAGACCAGCCTGACCAACATAGTGAAACCCCGTCTCTACTGAAAATACGAAAATTAGCCTGGCATGGTGGTGCATGCCTGTAATCCCAGCTACTTGGCAAGCTGAGGCAGGAGGATCACTTGAACCCGGGAGACAGAGGTTGCAGTGAGCCGAGATCGTACCATTGCACTCCAGCCTGGGTAACAGGGACTCGGTCTCAAAAATAAAAATAAAAATAAAATAAATAAATAAAAGCTGTATATTCTCTTTGGATTGCTTTAACATAAATGCATAGCAGAATAATACACTCATACAGGTACATAGCAGAGCCAGACAATTATACCATGTATTACATAGTGTTATGTTCATCATAAGGATTCCTTTCCCAACATGGTGACAGTGATGATTATTGTCCTTATTATAGATACAATTTATCCAGTAGGTCAGCAGGGTGCTAAGTGTTTACATACATTGTAACATTTAATCCTCATAGCAGCCCTGCAAAGGAGTGCAGTGGAATCATCTGGTCTTGCTGTAGTCTCTGCCTCCCAGGTTCAAGCGATTCTTCTGCCTCAGCCTCCTGAGCAGCTGGGACCACAGGCGTGTGCCACCATGCCCGGCTAATTTTTGTATTTTTAGTAGAAACTGGGTTTCACCGTGTTGGCCAGGCCGATCTAAAACTCCTGGCCTCAGGTAATGCACCCACCTCGGCCTTCCAAAGTGCTGGGTTTACAGGCATGAGCCACCACACCCAGCCCAAAGCAGATAGTTTTATACTCATTTTAAAAATAAGAAAAGTAAAGCCTAGAGAGGCAAGGAAATGTCACTAAAGTTACATAGTATAAATCTCAAAGCTATGAATCATAGCAAGGACCCCAAAGCATATCATGAACCTCTTTGTAAGTATTTCTATTGATTGGGACCCACTATATTGCAAGGAAGTCAATTCTCATAATGTGCATTTGGGGTTTTATAGCAAAGTTCTTTAATATATTTTTTTCTCATTCCTTACAAGAGTCTTGTAAAGAGATTCTACTATTGGACAGCTCAGGTTTTTCTGTGGAGCCCAGATCTCAGCCCTGTTTGTTACTTTTTTTTATATAATGGCCCAAATAAATGGGCTACTTTGTCCACATGATAGCCCTTTAGATATTTGGCAAGATTACCTTCAGGTTAAATATTCCTAACTTTTGTATCTATTCCTCATCATATTGTTTGTAAAGTATTTAGAATAGTCCCTGAAACATAGTGAATACTGTATGTGTGTTAAATAAGTAAATGAAAATCTACGTCATTGTTTAGTAGAACTTGTTTGTTAATTCTTCCCTTAGAAGATGGTGCCCAGAACTAACCTTATTGCTGGAGATATATTAGCCTCGTTAGCAAAGACAACAGGGAGACTATATTGCTGTAAAGCAGCACACAGTTATGCAGTGCAAGAGTATGTTAATTAATTAATTTATTTTTTGTGATGGAATCTCACTCTGTTACCCAAGCTGAAGTACAGTGGTGCAATCTTGGCTCTCTGCAGCCTCCATCTCCTGGGTTCAAGCAATTCTCCTGTCTCAGCCTCCTGAGTAACTAGGACTACAGGCATGCACCACCACACTGGCTAATTTTTATATTTTTGTATTTTTAGTAGAGATAGGGTTTCACCATGTTGGCCAGGCTGGTCTGGAACTCCTGACCTTAAGTGATCTGTGCACCTCAGCCTACCAAAGTGCTAGGATTACAGGCATGAGCCACTGTGCCTGCCCAAGAGTATGTTAATTTTTAAATTATGTTTTGTTCTCAAGTGATCTGCTGTCTTTCCATTCTATCCCTTCTTCTATTTATTTATTTTTTTAACCTCAACAAAGGACTTTAGCATTATTACATTTTATTTTGTTAGTTTTTTTTTTTTTTTTGAGACGGAGTCTCGCTCTGTCCCCCAGGCTTGAGTGCAGTGGCGCCATCTCGGCTCACTGCAAGCTCCGCCTCCCCGGTTTACGCCATTCTCCTGCCTCAGCCTCCGGAGTAGCTGGGACTACAGGCGCCCGCCACCTTGCCCGGCTAGTTTTTCGTATTTTTTAGTAGAGACGGGGTTTCACCGTGTTAGCCAGGATGGTCTCGATCTCCTGACCTCGTCATCCGCCCGTCTCAGCCTCCCAAAGTGCTGGGATTACAGGCTTGAGCCACCGCGCCCGGCCATTTTGTTA